AAAAAAATAAGAACAAATGGGGAAACCTGGATCAACCATGAACGAAGCATGAACAAGCAAGGGTCGTTCCCTGTCATTGATTTCAGGAAGAAAATATCCGTTTCTAGATCACTGCGTTAGACGTTAAAGAAACAAACTTGTTAAATTATCAATCGTATAACGAAACCAAAAAAAAAAGAGAAAGAGTCGACTCGCCTTTTTTCAAATTTCTTTATAAGACTCGAGAGAACGCAGTATCGCGTCGCTTAATGGTCACCGTGGCTCCCTTTAATTAACGTAGCCTGGTGTCTCGAGATAAATATGAAGATTTACGCCAAAGGAAAGCGCATGAGAAAAGATGCACGAAGTACGAAGTTATATATGAAAAATAAAATTAAAAAAATTGTGACAGTGCTCGGTCGCATTGTCCAGACGCTAGGAAAGTTACGAAACGTATGTCAATTGTTAACTCTCAGATAAGTGTGAGTGCGTGCGGTGTGCGGAGGATGGATGAGACACGTAAAATGTATGAGCGAGAGAGAGAGAATTCTAATTTAGAAAGAGAAAAAAAGAACGCGGTGGCACCAATACAAAAGAAGGAATGTGGCATGGATAGAAGAAATGCTATGGATTAATGATCAAGTGGATGAAGAACGAAAGACGATGGATGAGCACAATGTAAAAATGTTCGAACGTGTGAAAAAGTGAAATGAAGAAAACGGTGAAAATACGTACATGAGCAAGACGAAGAGGACGAGGCAGAAGAGGAGTGACTAAACTTTTTTCAGGTATATGAAATCCCTCCAAAATACTAGATCTCAATTGCTCAGAACAATCTAAGTAAAAAAAAAAGTTATTACCATTAATCGTTAATCGAAGCAACGAAGACGCGCGGCTGTCGCACGTCTCTGCTAATCGTGAATGTCATCGCAAGAATGATGGAGAGAGAGAGAGAAAGAGAGAGAGGTAAGAATGTAATTTTAATGTTTTCCAAATGGAGAGAAGGAAGCAGGCGTGTATATTGAGATTCACGATACGATTACAGCAACTTGACGTTCTATTGAAATTTAACTTGATTGCTTTAACGTGAATTTTAACAAGAATTAATATTCTTCTCTGTATTACAAAAGACTTACATCTAATTTAATTTACAATCAGAAAACGTGTTACGTTTGAAACTGTATAAAATAAATAAATATTACGAACTGTAAACTGTATAAGAAACTAAACGATCAAAGTTGCGATGTCGTGTAGTGATTCTCATAAAAATATCATTAATTGTAAACCCACTGGGCCCAGTGTAAACGTTAACCCATGAAATCGTACATGTTACGCCGTTAGAGCACGTATGCTCAAACGTTACGCCTTTACATCGTAAGAGAAGAGAGGAAACATTGCGCACACTTCGCATGTCGCGACGATTAAAACTAGACTCATCAGGACCATAAACGTCTTCGTACTCGTCTTCATTCGTCGAAATTTCACAGTCGTGAAGCACAAAGATCTTTGGAACTCTTCCTGCTCAGCTGTAAGAGATTGTATACCGTTTCCAATGATTTTTTACCCCTTACGCTAAGACTAGGAAGCGAAGGGAAAATTGTAAGAAAAAGATTGATCAATTTGATTTAAAGTAAAATCCTATAAAGTAGATGCTTTCACAAAGTAAATATTAATAAAGCGTTATATTGGAATTGTAAGTTTCATTCTGAAACTAAATGAAACTAAAGAAAGATGCATTAAATATTATTGTTACGGTACTAAAACAACTCCAAGCTTTTCTAATATCGTAGGTACGAGAAAATAGTTTTTCTGGAATTCTTCTTAATTTACCCAGAAAATTCATTACTCAAGAGAAACATTCCCGGTCATAGCTGACGTGAGGGGAGAGCAAACACAGAGAGAAAGAGGGAGATAAACGATATAAAACCTTTCTCTTCGCTTCCCTGTTCACTTGAACTCGCGCGTTCTCGTTGATTTCGATTCGCCGTCGTTCGTCGCACACTCGCACGTATTGTACCCTTTTTCTAATCTATTTGTAATATCTCGAACGAATTGTGTCATCGCCGACGCCGATCGCGCGTTCCGACCGTTTTCGCGATCGCGTCGCGTCGCCTCTTTGACGTTGTCTTTTCAGTGTACGATTCCACGTGAATTCTCGGAAATAAAAAAGTAAAAAAAGGAGACAGAGAGAGAAAAGCAAACGAGAGCAAGGAAACACGTTTTAACCCGGTATTCTATGTCGATCGATACGAAGGTCGTGGATCCGGCGCGTAGGGGGGGGG